GGTATGTGTTACTGTACTTCTCTTACTGAGTGATCGTTTTATGAGAGGCACCAACTTACGGCAAGGAAAATGAATGTTGCTATTTTGGAGTGTCAGAAGTATGTACAGAAATTTAATCAGTGTTGTGTACCTTTATAGATGTGCTGAAGACTTGTTACTGGTCTAAGAATAGGTACTTTTTTATTATCTCTCAGAGTTTAAACAGATTTTAAAACACAGCCTAGAGCTTAAAACCAACAGCCACATTTCTGTTGCATTACAGGTGTAGATGCTTGGAGCTTTCAGGCAGTGTCACGTACAAAGTCCATACTTTGGTTTGGTTGCCACTGATTCCTTTTTTGTGATCTAGGTGGATGAGAGAGATCTCATGTCACAAGCTGGCAGTTAACCTCCTATTTTTGAAATGTTGAGGCTGGACCGCTTGCTTTGGCCCTGCGCAACATGAACGTCTCAGTCTCACATCTCTAATTTTGGATGTATTATCAAGATTATGACCAAGGTTGAATTTGTGTTGCAGGTTTCAAAAACCTCTCTATATCCAAACAGGATTGTTTCCCTGTTAATTATGATTTTGATTTTGAATGTCAAAATATTGGTCAGTTTTAAATTGTTACTAATTTTTGTTGTATTTTCCTGTATCTTATTCTTCACAATAACTTAAACACTATACTGCTGTTGAAGTAATAGATTTGTTGTACTGTCTATTGCCCTATTTTCTTAGAATTCCCAGCATGTGTCAGATGATGTGTTGGTATATGGAGGGTAGAGAGCTTTGACATTCGTTCATCTTTTAAAATCTCTTTCAGAAATGCTTTTATGACTTCACTGTTATTTGGAATAAAGAAAAAAACTTATTTCTTTGTGAAAAAGTTAATAATAGGCTAGGATGGGATTAGTTGTTTTTGTTGACAGATTCTTTCTATAGCAGTAGCTATTAACGTAACTTTTTAAACCAAAGAGGCAAACCGTACTGGCTGTTCTTTGGAATTTTGTTTCCCTTAGAGAACTGACAAAAAGATTAATAAGTAAATCCTCTGCATGGTGTTCTTAATGATTGTTATTGTTTTTAATGTAGTTATTGCATCATTTATGACAAATAAGAGCACTAATGCAAAGCAATGGATGATAAGGGTGTAGTCCCATTCACTTAAGCTGATTTTAGGTTGTGCTGGAGATTGAATGAGGTCATCGACTGCCTGCTCTGCCCGGGTTTTACTTCCTCCTTTCTGTCCAGGGAGCTGATCTATCCGAATCTCCCCCAAGAAAGAGATACTTAAAATTTTTCATTAGGTCATTTTTGTCATATACTTCATTTGGAAAATAAAAGCTCTGATAGTAATTTTCTTGAAAAACCTACAGTTGCTGAATGTGAGCGAAGAATGAATTACCATGAAAAAGAGAAGTTAGAATCGAACTTAATCCCGTTCACTGGAAAAGCCCCCACTTTGTAAGCTGCGGTGCCGGAGAGGTGTAGTGAGTGATGCTGCCTGTTGGACTGCCTATGTTGCTCTCACTTGGTGTTTAAGTTAGCAGGGCAAGTATTTTTATAAAAACAAAACTTGAATTATTTCACTTAAATGCCCCAGTGTTTAAATAGGGAATTTTTTGATGTAAGATACAGAAAGACAGAAAAATGCTAGTGCAGAAAAATAAGCTACTTAATGTTCCAGCTTTTTAGTAGTTTGGGATTTGTTGTGAATTCTCTTTGACCTTACTGGCCTTACATATTTTTGTATGCATATACTTTTAGGCACTGCTTTCTCAGATTTTTTTTGACATAAAACCTCCTAGAACTGGCTGTAGTCTGTACCCCCCTTGCTTCTGCTGTATTGCCCAAACTCCTGTATAATTCCAAGGGGAGGATACCCGCTCTGCTTAGCTTAGCTCTTTTCAGTCTCCACAGACTCCAGGCTAGGAGAACGTAAGCCTTTCTGCATAATTCCTGTAATGCTTACCTTGCTGGGGATGTTCTTAGCTATGTTGTCCTCCTCTTGCTGTATTATTTTAAAGTGTACGTGGAGATGAAAATAATCCCTCTTTAGGCAGTTTAATTAATCCTGGCTTCACTCGTACAAGTACTTCTGGATGCTATTCATTTTTCTGGCTACTGTAACTGCTTCACGTTTTGTCTTGTTCCATATGACTGTGGATTTCTATTTCATTTTTTTAACTCTCAAGCTGTGGAAAGATACGGTGTGTATCTATGTTTGCTTGCCCTTTTTTGTTGTGCTCTGACAGGTAGGTTTGCATGATGCTCTGCTACCTCTAGCAGCTGCCATCACTTTGTCACTACTTACAACTTTCTGGTTAGAGCTGCCAACTTGCTCTTTCCAGTTCCAGAAGACAAACCAATCTAGACAGTCTTTCGTCCTGGCTTCTGGATTTCATGCTAGACTGACAATACGTTTACATGACTAACCGTCTTGAAAACTTGCTACAAGAGAATCTGGCTTCAGTTGGAAATGAAAACTGAGCTAAAAGGAAAATGATGGGGTATATAGCCTCTTGTTTCTCATTAAACAGGGGAGCTTGTTGAGTTTCAAGTTGATGGTTGCAGCACCAAAAATAAACCGAAAGCAGGGCGCATGAAGCTCTCAAACACTGACTGTTTACTTTGCTACAAACTCCCCACAGGGATGAATGAAACTAGACCATCGTTGTTCTAGTAGAGGAGTTTCTAAATGTGTTTATCTGAATGAGGACGTGCTAATAACTGATTTTTTGGCAATTTACACGACACTCAATGCATTGAAAAAGTAATTGACTTTTTATAGGTGTTCAGATGGTGAAATGGTAAGATGGAAGGCAGCGTTTCTAGATTTATTTTAGTAGCCTCTTAGATATTAGTTTCAAAAAAGTAAACAATAAAACAAGGCATAAAATATGATGCATAGCCTTGCAGTTAATGTAACCTTTTTCTATGATCAAAATATAGGTTGTTTTTATATTAATTATATACATATATAAATGCAGCGAACAAGGCCATGGTCTGATTTAAGTGAATTAGAGCATTTAATTCAGTCCCCTGCTGTACTGCCTCCTTTGAGAGGACTGTATTTAGTTTTTTAAACTACTGTACGTTACAAAATAGGCACCGAGTCACGTGGCTGTTAAATGAATGTTAAGTATGTGATGTCTGAATCACCTGTTATTCGGCATCCTGGGAGGCAAGTCAAAGGGAAAATGCATCTGAGGAGGAAGCTTGCTGCTGCGAAGCCTTGGCATATTTTTGGTTTTTTTACTTGTTGATTCCTTGCTAATTTTGAAAATACTCGTGGGTCCTTCTCTTCCCCCGGGAGTTGGTTAGTCTGTGTCCTCTGGACTGCGAGGAAGGATAGTGTTAAATGCCGAACACCTTTTTAGCAGTGGCAGAAGAGGATTGCATCTGCTTATGAGGTATTGCATGCGTTTTCCAGTGGGATTAAAAGGATGCTGTGAGAAGGGGCTGTGGTTTGAATTAGGATGAAATTGTAGTTCAAAATAACGCTTACCTTAACTTTCAGAGTAATTTTAGGTAGATAACCGGATTTGATGTTAAAAGGTAAGCCAGTGGACTTCGTAGAAATCCTTGGTGATCTCCGGTTTATCATGCGCTGTACAACTTGAATATATACATACTTTGGTCTTTTGGCATAAAATGGAAATGTAATGCTAGCTTCTATTACAATATAATATAAAAAGAAAATGTAAAAAGAGCCAGTATGTACAAATACTTGTCACATACAGTCATTTTCATTCACAGTTTTTCTGTTCTGTAAGCTTGATGCTTTATACCTGTGTTATTTTAATTGTTTGTATCGAGATGTTGTGTAGTCCTCTAAAACAGAACTCATTTCGTTATGATTTGATCTTAAATGGCCAGACTTCCCATGCTTCCAAGCTGAGGTCAGATAAGTTTTCCACTGAAAACAATAAATGGCTTCTCATTAGGAAAGTAATTTCCGTCTTTAAATATTAAAAAAAAATGCAGGCAGTGCAATGTAAGAATATTACATATGTTGTACTCAGTAGGTGTACGTGTATGCGTATGGACTAGCTGCAGTAAGTTCTCTTCTTAACTCCCGGGTCTGGCTGTGTGTACTTAGCTCTTTTTTCTTTCACACATAAGTGCTTTACCAAAATCAGTATAAGCAAATGGACTCTTATGCATGGGGACGTGAGAACTTGTGACTCCATGTACACTAGCAACGTTCTGCCTGTACAGTATATTACACCGGCAAGGTCGCAGATTTTAACAGCGCAGAAGAACAACCACCAAGCTTTACTGTGGAGCTTTGCTGAGATGGTTGGTCCAGCAGAAACCCCTTGTGTAGAGGTGGCTGCATGTAGTTCTGTGGGCACAAACCTCTAGCCATCAGCCTGTACCTGCTCTTCAGATCTAAGATGAAAGGAAACTGTAAGAATTACTGGAAATAAGGCATCTAGAGGCAGCATCATAATTCTTACAATTGCAACTGTTCTCATTCAGAGATTTTTTTTTTTTTTAAATGACTAGTTTTTCTTGTAATGTGTAATTCCCACGTCTGGAGTGAATTCCCTTCTGTTTAGTCTTAAGAGTCTGTTCAGTCTGCTGCAGTTTTTATTAATAGGTTTTGAAATAGAGCTGTGCAGCAGCTCTGTCAAGTATATACCTGACAAACCAGGAGAGAAATCTGGAGGTTTTTAGATCTAAGTGTTAGCACAGTTGGTGCTAATTTTTTTCAAGTTGCTGTTGTTCACTTGGCAAGTGTTTGTCCAGATCTTCCCTAATTCAAAGCACTGGGGGGGAAATGAGTAAGACCTGTTCTAGGGATAGGCTTTTGTTGTATGCCAGTGCACAATGGACTGATAACTAAATTCAGTGCCATTGTAAATTCTGTTTTCTGTGCTGTACAATACATAAAACTTCTTTAGTATTATTGACTGCTGTCTATATATTAGACTTACTGAGGCTTCACTGACAGGTGAAGATACAAGTTCTTCTGCTTCCTGATGTCAATTTTCTCTCTTCTAAATTTTAGGAGAGCTCATACCTTAACAGTCTTGTTCATCCTCACGTGTGCGCTGGGCTACGTAACCTTGCTTGAAGAAACACCACAAGATACAGCCTACAATACAAAGAGGTAAATATTTGAGAAAGTGTTTCTATAAGTTGTATATTAGAAAAGGGTAGCTGGATGAACAAGTTACTGTACACGCGTTTACCTTGTGGATAAGCTACCTCAAATGATCTTTGCATTAACTTCTTTAAATGCCCGAAACCTTAGAAAGTGACAAAACCAAGCATAAGTCTATAAGCTCCTTTGATGCTGGTCGTTGAATTTAATTTCTAATCAGTTTAGTGTCACTCACTGTCATACCTGGTGGCTGCCGTGTGTGTTTTAAAACAAAGTGCGAAACTCTTTCTAAAGCCTCAAAGTACCGGCTGTGTTTCTTTGGCAATGATTCTGCCTCTTTTTCTTAAAATAACCTAATGTTCTAAATTATGTGAGCGGTGACTAAATTTTTTTGACTTAAGTGCTTTTTGTAAAATTATGGTTGAGATTTCAATACAGATCATTATTTGTTGTTGAAAATTAACATGAGAACTTGTAGCCCAAAGGGAAACTCTTGGAAAATAAGTATGAGATGAGTCTTACATATGTGGTCCATTTCTACTGTAATTTAAACTGATTAAATGTAGTTGAATTTCTCTTCTTTTTAAAGAAATACAGTAGGGAACAAAAAGGGGGAAGAAAAGCGGTCTTTTAAAAATCTAAGTATATATTTAAAATTAAGGGGGTGCTTACAGACTGTAAAGCATCCTTGCTATAAGCATGAAAATCATTCTGTTTTCTACCAGTCTGATTTCTTAAATATAATGCTATTTTTTCCCTTCCCTATTAAGGGGTTTCTTCCTATTTTTTTACATTTTTTTAAAGTGACTCAGGATATAGTATTCATTGTCAGGGAGATGCAGGAATTAGGGTATTTCCTGAGATAATCTTGGTTGTTATTCTGTCAGTTACACAATTGGTGTAGCTAATGTAATTTACACTCACACATCTGCCAGCTGAGGATTTGTATTTTTATGCGTGGGGGTGAAATGGAACAAGTTGGAACACAGTGCCCTGTCTGGAGCTGGGAAAACTTCTGCGAGGCTTTGGTGTGAACAAATGCCATTTTATTCCCAGTTATAATGAGTGAGTCTAGGGAACGGATGGAGGCCTGACATCCTCTGGAATGGCAGTTCAAAATAAAGAAGGGGAAAAGCTGAAAGGGAAGTGATGACACATCGTTAGGGAGTAATACAGATCTAAGGTGACTCAGTGGAATATCTTATTATTGAGATTAGAGCCTTTACTGCTTTAATAAAAACAAAACCAGAGAAGATTAATCAGTAGATTAACCTTTCTTTCATGAAATAGAAGTTGCTTTCTGCATATTCAGTGCAGGGAATAATGTGTCTAGTTATTAAAATCAATTTAACAGCATCATACCAGGCAATGAGTAGCGAATGTTCTTTGATCGCTTCTGCATCTCTGCTTGTGGAATACTGCCTGCAAGATCTAGATGCAAAAATACTTGAAAAGCAGCATCCTGAGAATTGTATACGGTCTTCCAAATATTGGGTTTTGTTACTGGTTTTGAAGGATACATTTCTATTTCCACTCATGCTGCACCCTTATGCTGTTGCCATAGTCATTCAAGCTACATGTCGAATTCTGAGATAGTAGTTAACTCTGCCAAATCATTACTTTTTCCAAGCTAAAGATAAATGCAGGCATAACGCACGAGTCCTGTGGGCCTTTCGTAAGCTTTAGGTCTGTTGCCTTGGCCCTGATTTACAGAATGGATGGAAGCGTCTGTGTTGTTCAGCACACTCCTTACGCTGAGTCAATTTTTGTGAACTCCTGTCTGGTCTCAATTAAATTTCTTTTCTAAGGTCTTTGAGGTAAGTGCTATGCCAAGTTTAGCAACATTACACATGAAGGATTCCAGCTCAATTCATGTTCCAGCTGTTGTTCTTGCCTTCTTTAGTATCCATGTGCCTGCTGCTCTATTTCATTGTTCCTGACCAATTTTATGTGGCTCTTTAAGTGTGTATTTGAACAAAAAGAGGCATTTCAGAGCAGGAGTAAGATGGTCACAACATGCATAAGTATAACCATATCGCCAATTTTCACAGATTTTTTTTTTCCCCTTCCATAATTTAAAATACCTTATCCTACCCTGAGATCTTTTTTAGTCTTTAACGTAGAGCTGTTGTATGTTTTGATCTAAAATTTTGGCCTGCATGAGGCTGTCACTGTGTGCACATATTTCATGGCAACTCTTGCCTGCTTAATGAACAGAAGTAGTTTTATTACCAATGAACAGTGTCTCTAGCTGTCATGCTTTTTTATTTCCAACTGCTGCACAATGACAGTGGAGCAGTGTTTCGGTGCTTAGGTGCAAAGTCTAAATACGTGCTTGCAAACCCTTAAACCTCCTTTGTTTTCAAGCTCTTGCTGAGAGGTGCCAGAGTGCCTGTGAACTGCATTAGGTGCTTAGAGCAGAACATTAAATTGAAGCAAAGTGTACAAATTACTGTGCTAGCTGCTGTTGCTGTGTTTCCTAGACTAGCTAAAGCAATAGGAAGTCATCTGAGGCTCCCATCTTCTCCCCTATAAAGTGCTTCATCCAGTCATTTACAGCAGCAGCTGAGGGCAGGGTGAGTGGCTGGATTCATGTAATAAGTCATCAGGAGAAATGATGGACAGAAAACAAATCAGAGCATGAATCTATGAGATCATGAGGTGTGGTATCTATAGCTGAGATTTATATTTGCATCTTTATATGCTGACATTTGGGTGCCATTTTCCTTCCTGCAACATGTTAGGGCAATTAAAGGAGGAATTTTTGGTTTTGTAAGTTAAGGTTTATAGAAATGTTTTATATGTAAATTAGTCAAAGTTCATTAGGATCATACACGCACATATTGATGTCATCATGTGATATATGTGATCAGATTGCCTCTGTTGTAAAGACAGTTGAAAATTTACTTCGTTAGCCAAAGAGATGTTGTGCTGCAAAACCTGTCTGATGGATGAGGCTTTTTATTCACACAGTTCCTGCAGCATTCAAAGCAGCCTTGAAGTAGTCCATCCTGTCTGACAACTGTCAACTTCTCCTCTCTGTTAAGCGCCCAGGAGGAGCTGACAGGACTGAGCTCCAGCTCTGAGGGTAGCTAAATAAATATTCAGCGACCCCCTTTGCATACAATGGCCGTGGAAGAAATCCACATCTCCCAAATACTTTGATTGCCGAGCAGGGGCTCTTGGGGGAAAAAAAGTTTTTTTTTTTTTTTTAATATTAAAAAAACACATTCAGGTTTAAAAAAAATCCTGTATGCATTAGGGTTATACATTGGATTTGAAGCCATGAAACAGTGCCTTTCTACACTAGTTTTTGGCAATAACTGATCACTGCTCAGCCATGGTGACAAATCTAGCTGTATGTTTATTTGCATGTTGATGATCTCCAACTCCTGTCGCTGAACACCCACAGAGAAAACAAGGTAGCAAGGAGGCTAGACCTCCATCTGCCAGTCTACCAGTTCTTCAGCTTGTGATACCACTGAGGGGATTGTACCAGTCATGCTACTGTAGATACAGACAGAGAAGGGACAGGGAGTGGGAGCTGACTCGTTAAAAGCCTAGAGAACAAAGGACGATATACAGATACTCATAGACAAGCTTCATTGTCTTGTGTCTCTGAATCGACTCTTAAAATAACACAAACAATAGCTTGTTTGTACTAAGGAAACTGTTGCCATGTTCTCCCTTTCTTATTTGGTTAAGTGCTAAAATTATTTTTGTAGGCACGCTTTACTATTTAGGGGGGAAAAAAAGTTTTGCTCAAGAAAATGCATTAGCTCAAGAAAATACATTAGCCACGTCCCTCCAGGCTGCCTGCAGGGGTAGTTTGAACTCCCCCTCAAATCCTAGAGAAGCTCTTACCTCAAGCCATCATAAGCCAGCAGGCCAAGCTGCTGGTTGGGCTTTGAAAGCTTCATAAGGAGGCAGTATGATGATGTTAAGGGGAGAAATTTAGTTGCCACAGGAAAAAAAAAAGATAATGGAGCGGGCATGGTTATTATGCAAATTTGTGATTTTCTTCAAAACTTCCCATGGTAAACTTCAAGTAAAATAATACAGCTGAAACACCAGCTTATTTCAGTGCAGCTGCTGCATCTGCTGTTTGGCTGAGAGTGGATTTTAGAAGAAGGAACATAACTGTAAGTTCCTCTGGTGATTTAGATTCAGGTCATCTCCAGCTTTGGGAAAATTACCCTCACAAGGCCTAAAACAATGATCGTGGACATCTTGGTTCGTGGCTGAGCATAATGATAGTGAACAGAGATGTGTATCGTTACATGATACAGAACGCAGACTATTCTGTGTAAAAGTAAATTTGTATTCCTGGTATTTCCAAATACAGACTAGTGGCTCAAAATGCAGAATATTCTCATTTTTTGAGATCAGCTGAAAACTTTTTTGGCATCTTCATCTTTGAAAATCATGATGGAACTATCTATTTGCTGTTTCATTCGGTAGCTAATTCTGTTGTGCTTCCCAGTGTCATAAAGCAAGCAAAATAACTGAGTTCCATCTGTTAAGTAAAACCCATTTTTATTTTCAGGAAGCACAAACTTTTTATACTCCGAGGTGAATGTCACAAAATAGCTTTCACAAATCCTTTTGTTTTCTATTTTGAAAGAAGTTTTTGAAATGTTTTAAGTATGAATAGTCTACTGTCGCTTCTGGTATGTAACATTTTCGCAATAAAAGCAAAATTATTAGGTATTTTCTCTGGCTCCTGCAAACAGAGCCATTTTATTTACAGTCAAGAGTTGCCTCATTTATTGCAAACATGGCCTACGCTTATCCTGCAGTGTAGCGAGGTATTTCTCAATTAACTGTCTCTTCAGCCAGCTCTTAAGCAGGTAATATGAGAAAGCATGAAAGTTCTATTGGGGCTTCAGATGTAGAAAAAAAGAGCATTTTTGGATTGCATTATACTGTTCCATCCATTAAAGGAACATGTCCAAGTATAGACCATGGGGTCTTGTCTTCATGAAAAACAAGTGGTGACCCCTGAAAAAGAAATGCCGTTTTGTGCACGTGAGATGTTTAAAATCTCAATTACTTAAAATCTCAGGAGAATTTTAAGTTGATGTTAGGTACTTTGAAATTAAATGCCAGACCTCTCCCACCTAACTCACATCTCAGTCTCTCCAGGTCTGTCCTGCATACTAAAGGAGTGGTGTTCCTGACGGTAAGGGTCAGGCATTCAGATATGAGTATTTGCACTTTCTCATTTTTCTTTTACTTGCAAAACAAAACTTCATTGAAAAACATACTGCATGTAATTAGTGGGTTTCAAATCCTGGATCTTGAATGTTGCTTGCTTAGTTTGCTGTTTGATCAGTAAGGATCTCTTCCTGGAGCCTTCTGGATGCCCTTAAGGGTTCAGTTCCACATTGGCTTAAGCTGACAGTTTAGCCTTAACTGGGGGCTGCTGTGTTCCTTCCTTGTGAGAGCGGTGAGCTGAGCCAACTGAACAGGAGTTGTTTTTTTCCTAGGTTAGTTTTCAGCCGGATCAGTCCTTGCACCATCTCATTCTGGTAATGTGCAGAAATGCTGCCTCCTAGAAGGAGGCAGACGGCAGGACTGTGGCAGTCCTTATTTGGGTCTTACCTTGCTGAGGATGAGAAAACTCTGCAGGTCTGGGCTTAGGGTATTGGGGTGAGGTTGTGGGTCTTCGGCATACTTGGGCTCATGGTCTGGTAGCTATTACTTTTCTTTAATGTCTCTGTTGTGTTCTGTTAGGCTCTATATTATAGTTCCAGCTTTTGAAATAGCACCGGTGCTGGTTTGGTTTTATAAGCTCCTCCTTGTCTTTAGTTGACTAAGAAAATGTTTTGGAGTAGTGACAAGTTCATTCTTAAATTTCACTGAAATTTTACTGGAGCAATGAGCAGCTCTCTAACATGAGGGCTTTCTCACTGCTAAATTTTAAGTGTCTTTCTGACAAAGTGGGCATAAAAGCTTCTCAAAGACAAAGGGAAGCGTTTGACTTATTGTGCATCTCACGATCATCTACAGGCGAAGGCTCATCATGTGGATCAAGGAACTGCTCTTTTTGTTTTGTTTTTGCTGGATGAGTTCTCAGCCAGATCAGGCTCCTCACCTGGCTGGCTGGCTACTAGTAAATGACAGCAAAATGGAAGGAATGGAAGCATGCAGTTAGTGGGGAGGAAGGGAGGAGGATGGATGGGTAAACTTTGGGGTTTGAGACAGTCTGCCATGACACCATGCTTAAAAGTATAGGAATTTATACCCCTTTCCCTGAAATACAATCTCCAAAAGGCATCTATTTATGATTGGCATGTTTAGTAGTTAAGAAACAGACCAGACATTTTTTACATCAAAGAATATAATTTACAGTTTCATTAGGAAGATGATGCAATATAGACTGTTTATTCTTTTTTTCACTTTCAGAGGTATTGTTGCCAGTATTTTGGTTTTCTTATGTTTTGGAGTTACACAAGCTAAAGATGGACCATTTTCAAGACCTCATCCAGGTAACTTAAATTGCTTAAGTCACTCAAATATTTCTGATAAATTGCATGGTTTATGGTGAACATAAATATTTGTGTTACTTGTAGAGAAGGTAAGTCCTAATTTAAATAATAATAATATAGGTTCATTAACAAGATGTAGATACCACGTAGCCTCCCAGCTGCCTCCCAGCTTCCACCCAGCCTCCAAACAGCATAGTGATTCTTCTGTGCTTTCGATCCACGTGTAGCATAGGATTTTTTTAGGTTTTTTTTATCTCCCTGTTTTGGCTTCCTGTTGTTAGTAAAAAGCTTTGTGTGAACTGCCAGATTCTTGAAACCTTGACTTCCCTTGTTTATCCCCCTTTTTTTTTTTTCCTCCTTTCTGTAAAGGGACTGCACTTCTGACCATGTATCCGGTTGCTGGAGCACTATGCTCCCTTTGCTGCATGTCCATTATCCACAATAACAGGTAGATTAGAAACCCTTGATTATGATTTTAAAGATTTCTAGTAAGACTTGAAAGCATTTGAAAGAACAACACAAAACCTCTTCCATGTAGTGTTATATCAGGTGAAGTATGAAAATATTTTAATATCTTTGATCTTTTGCCCATTTTTAGATGTGAATCATTGAGAAAGAATTAAGGGAATTTGTATAGGCTTACATATTATTCCTAAAATCATTAGGCTCTCCTACAGTCAAATAAAGCTGTAAGTATTTCTTATGCCAAAAATGTAACCTTCCAGTTTAGGAATGCTATTCTATATGAGAAACAGCAGATATGTTAAAAACCTTGATAAAGCAAATGTTGTTCTAGAGCAATGCCCACAGCACACCTCTGCGAACTTAAGGTTTTATTTTTAATAAAAGGAAATAAGTTTGCATTTCTGAGGTCTTATTAAATAGCAGGTTTTAGTCTTTCCTTCCTGTTACAGTTAATTCTGGTTCCTCCTATAAGACAAATTACTCCTTTTAAGGACAGCAGTGGTATCTGAGTGCTTTCAGTTTTAGAACATCCAGAGGTGCTGTCTGGGATGGAAGTCGTTTTTATTCCCTGGAACGAAGTAGCACAAATCGGACGGGGATCAAGTCCAAAGGTCAGAGATCTCTACAGCAAACTTGTCGCGTAGACTGAGCCAACATCTACCACCTCTGTATGCTACTGTCTTGGAAACAGCAGTTGCTGGGCTGAAGCTGAATTTCAGCAGAATCAAATTGTCCGTGAACAGGGTGATTGAAGAAGCTCCCACGTATTCAGTCATTTCAAATACTGAGTGTATACATGTCATCTTTTGTCTTAACTTCACCTTTCCTCTAGCTTGTTTCATGGGATGATCTTCTGAAGAGTGGTTTTCAGGGGCTGTAGCAGTTCACTAGGATAGCGGATACTTCCACGATCACAGCAAGACGTCTGGGTGCCTGTTCAAAGGAGAATGGCAGTCTTTCTCCGTATCTCTCCTGCGGGAAGGCTGTTGCAGGCAGCAGAGGGCATGGCATTGCAGCCCCGTGAGATTCAGCGTCAGCTCTCCAGTTACAGAGGGGTGTATTAGGAAGTTCCCGTCAGGCAGTCGAGTCTGACCTTAGCTTGGTGGTGCTGTTCCAGGAGAAAGATCTCACCTCAAAGGAACTGGCGGCGCAGGCTGCTGGTGTGCGCTGCTTCCATTTATAGGGCAGAAGGAAGCCTTTGGGTCAGTCAGGTCACTGCGATCACATACAGCCGCATCAGATCTGTTACATGAACTCTTCAAGCTGTATCTTAAAAGTAGCTAGGTTTCGTGACCTGCTTCTGTCAGGTGATTTTTGGAGCCCTATTATTCAGTGTGTGTGTACCTATTTATGACCAGCTCAGAGATGGTTTATATTTTTGTCTGGTTTTTGTGCCTAATGTTGTTGTTCTGTTTAAATAGCTCTTCTTACTCGGTGTTTATCCACCTGATTTATTTATACAGGGCTCACGTATGCCAACTCACCATTGGTTTTGCTAAAGCAAGCAAATTTTGCTAAAGCAACAAGTTTTGCTTTTAGTCTCCCCCCTCAATGTAAGTCTGCTTTCCTCCTAACGTTTTGGTAGTTATTCTCTTTGTGTGTTTTGAGTTTTCTTCTTTGAAAATGGCTGTCCAGAACTGTGTAGGATATTGCAGATGTGAGAGCGCTTATGGTTTTTGTGATAGTGTTGATGCTTCCCAGTCTCCCTCTGGCAGTACCTTGATGGCCGTCTTTATATTGCATGTGCTTTTTTCATGGCTGTATTACAGTGACGGCTGAGTGACTGGCAAATAATACCGAATCCTTCTGTTTCAGCTGATGAGCTAACATGAAAACTTACTGGTTCCTAAGTGTGGAACTGTATTATGACCTCTTCTATTACTCTAGTCCTTTGAGATCATCCGATTTTCTCTTTGCTGTCCCTGCCTTCCCTGCTGCTGCTGTTTGTGCTTTGTGTTATTAACCTACTTTTCACTAAGGCCATTAATGAAACTGATCTTAGCCACCATGTAAGTGGTGTCCCTCCAGACTGGTGTGGGGCTTATTTTGCCTTCCTTTCAGTATTACCAGCAATGTCAGCTTTAGCCAATGGCTCATCCAGCTTTACCATTTTTCTACTGATTTCACCCTCCCCCCCCCATTTTCTCCAGTTTAGCTAATAATTTGCTACATGGACCTATACCGGTTGCCTTACTGTAATTCAGAAATGTAGGACTATCATGAATGTAAGTATGTATGACTGTTTTAGGCAAGACTTCTTTACAAACTTACCCTGCTTTTTATCCCATTTTCCATTTCCTTCCTGTAAACTGTTGGCTTCAAGGCCCCCATTTGGTTCCATCCAAACCTTCTAGCAAAGGAGGAACACTACCTTAACCCCATGGAACAATATTTTACAGGGGACAAATCTTAAGCTCTGCTTGAGGGTCCATTTATTGGTGGGTGAACACCCAAATTTGGGGAGTGTAATGCATTTCATGATAAAATTAATCATGGATAAAGTCAGCATCAGTATGCTGACTTTTTAGTATTTGCTAATAAAAGATACTCTTCATTCTTACTGTCAACTCCTTTTATGGAGCCTTGAACATGCTAATGGCCTGGTGTTGCAAGAGTTCAATGATGCTTTATTGTCTTTGTCAAGATAACATGCCCACACTGTAATTTTAAAGAAATTTTCCGTGACAGTTATTAATGCCCTAAGAAATAGCTTTTAATATTCCCAACCTTTGCCAACAGTTATTTTGACTTAATCATGCGTCACAGCACAAGCTGTTTGGAGAGTAAACTGTGAAGCTCTTAACTAACCCATAGGCTAGAGGGCTGAAGTAGCTAGAAATGAGCAGGCAAGAACTGGGTCTTTTCTATCCCTGGGTAGAAGGCACAGGCAGAACAGGCCACCGATGAAACTGGATGAAGCAGCTGGTTGCCCTTTAATTCTGCAAAGAAGTCGTCCTTTCATTAGAACTTTATCCAGGGAATAGTACGTGATCTGCCCCTTTCTGACAACTCCTTTAACAGTTCAGGAATCTGGATACTCACCACTGGTTTTGCATAAATGTGTTGGACTATTGGGATAGTGATACTAATTGGCTGCTTTTTCATGGACTGGGTGGAATAAATGACTCTCTATGAAGGGGTTTGGACAAGCTGAGCTTTTAACTTATATTTTTCTATCTTAACATAGTATTTAATGTGTTCGGGAGTTACGTTTAGAAATATAAAATTGCCTACGCAGAGCTAGGACTAGTCTGAAGAACTCGCCCGCCTCTGTTACTCTCTCGGTTGTCCCACCTCCTGGTCAGCGCAACTCTCAGGTTACGGGTGGTGCTTTTGAACCTGAGCTTGCTATGGAAAACCTTGTGCTCTGGAGCAGTAATTTGAGCAGGCATATGCTGGCCCAGGCTCATGTGGCTGCTCAGACCAGACAGTTCTCCCTGCTCACGTCCTGTCCAACTTCTGATTAGCACTTCATAGCTTCCACCCACTTAGCAGCTCTAAGCTAAGTGCCTTGCTTAGGCAAATAACTTAGAATTTTTTTCTTTACTCATTTAGCCTTTCAGGTGGCATAGGTCAAACTCAAACCTCTGTTGATAGATAGGGTTAAGTGGCTGGTTGTGCACTCAGCCAGGCAGCGGTCTCTTGTTAAGTGTTCATCTCGTGTTTGCAAGTCTACCTACAATGGCAACAGTTTAGTTTTTGAGCATAGTAATTACTAAACTCTCAGGTATGTAAATGATTAGTTGAAGCCTACTTAATCAGGAAGATAGTCCTAATTTGAAGGAGGTTCATGGTCACAAGTGCATTTAAGGAAAATAAATATTAGAGGTATGCCTAAAATAACTTTATAGCTAAAGCTGAGGCCGGTCCAGGAAGAGAGAGAACACAATGTTTGTACCGCTTTGAAAACATCTTGTTTCTGATGTACATGTACAGATATAAAGTAGTCTTCAAAACCTCTTGGGTACTTATCTCAGCCGGGGAGGAAGCACACTAAATTATAACCAGATCTTATTTTTTTATTATGAAGTATTGCTGAGCATATTCAGCAGCTGCAGATCATCTGTTGCCAGAACCCCATGTATATAGGAGAAGAAAAGCTCAGATAAGGATTTAGATTTTTCTGCTTTCTGAACTATATGTACATCAGTTTCAGCACTAGTCTGCCGCATTTATGTCTGTAAGTAGCGTAAAATCTGTCATACAAGGCTTTATAGGTGAGAAAAAACTCAGCATTTCTAAGGCTTATAGTCTGAAGGTGATGTTTGAAGGAAACAATGCTCAGTTCTTGTGGGTAAAGTGTATTAATGAAAGGTTAAGTCTTACTTCTGCCTTGAACATAGTGATTACTTTTCAAGGTATGCAGTCATTATAGGAAAGGATAGAAAATACCTTCTCAAACACAAACTGATTTTTTTAAACTTAGAAATACAGTGGTGACTTTTTTTTATCCTGCAGACTTGCATTTGAGAGGCTGAGGTATTTTTCAGCAGCACAGTGGTGTGGGTTTGGGGAGAGGTTCCTCTCTTCCAAATAAACCTTTGACCAATGGAGGGTTTTTTTTGCTTGTTTGTTTTTCCTAAGCTGCATTCTAGAAAGACAGGAGGGTGCACGCACACTCTTGGTCAGTCCTTCCAAGTGAAATTTGCCAGTGGATTTGAAAGTTAATCAAATCTGAAGGAAGGACGGAAGTCTCGAGTGATGGTTTCTACAACTTTCGTGTAAGGACAGCTGCACAAGAGGCACTAGTTATTGCCTCACCAAGGAGAAGGTAGGCTGAACTCTGCTTTTACTTCCCTCAAGGAAACCAAGGGGCAAAACCACCTCATAATGCGTGTTTAGAGGTTGGTTTGTTTTTTTTTTTTTTAAAATGACTGACCCCTAAGAAGACACTTCATCGTATTGCATAATTAAGAAATTACAATTATATTTGTAGACTTTAAGTAAAAATCTTAAAAGTTCCAAATTTCCAGTGAAAGCTGTTACAGAGCTGTGAACTTCCTATTATCCAGGCCACACCTGCCTTTTTATTTTTCCTTTTTTTTTTCCCTGGAAGTGTAAAGTAGGCCATTTTGATGAAATTAATTTAGCAGTTTTGCTGAAAAAAGGTCACACCTTCTCACATTTCGGTCTGTTTTAATGATGGTGTCAGAAGCAGGCTGTTAGACTTATGTTAAAAATGTGGATTCCCCCCCCCCCTTTTTTTTTTTTTGCTACTTGAGCCTGAATTGGGCAAAGATGACATTTGTTTTTATTTCAGGGGGCAAACAAGCCTCTGGGAAGCTCTGCAATACCATGGCTAGTTGATTTCAGGTTCTGAGCTGATAAATGAGCATGTTTGCAAGCCTGGAGTTTATGTTTAGTTCTTGTGTTATTTATGTCATGGTCCTGCTTTTAAGCATTAACATACCTAAGTTGCCTTGGAGTTAATAGAGATAAATGCCCAAATCAGGCCTGAAGGTTCTTGGTTTTTTCACTTCATGGCAAACCATGTTCATGCAGGTAGAATAGCTTGCTGTCTCCACTCAACCATATGAACAACTGTCTCGATTCCTCTTTGCCCCAATCCAATTCTAACTATCACTTAGATGTAACCATGGAAGGAGAGCTCTGTTTTATAAGTGTAAACAGGAAACACCTGAAGGAAAGTCTATTAAAATCATTCCAGAGTGATTAGCATGTGATGTTACTGAGAGATTTAAATATCCACTTGGAATGAGTCAAGTTTTGCTGAATTACCTTGTGTAAATTTTTGGATGTGGTTAGGAAAAAAATGCTGGAGCACTCTGTACGCATACTGGCTCTGCATTAACCTGCTTCCTCTCGTATAGGAGTTGACAAAAACGCTGGATGAGATTTCAGAGCCCAGAAATCACTTTATGGAACAGAGGCCAAACCAGTTTCTGGGTGGAGTAGGATGAATTAGGGGCATGAATGCAGCCCATGGACCACAAAGCTTGTACCCAGGACAGTCATTACCTGAGGACTGAGTCTTCCAGAAGGACTGAGAGGACAGCGATGGAGCTGGAAGTGTACAAATACTTTAATTTACATACCCTTTAGATTCAGGTGTTCTTTTAGTGTGAGAAGAGCTGTAATCACACATCTTGGGAGAGTGAAAAACGACTGCAGACTCTGAAGCAGCTGAGTTTTGCATGATGTTTCTCTTATTATGAAGAGTATCAGATAATCTCATAGGTCTTGCGTCTAGCACCTGCTAAACCTTTGGTACATTTTTTTTTTATTTAATTCCTAGTAAAAGTGAAAATATCTTTGGTATTTTGAAATGCTTTCTGCCCCTTGAGGGCAGAAACCTTGTCTTCAGGGAAAAAGGTGGGCTTACAAACCTTGTCTTCAGGGAAAAAGGTGGGCTTACAAACCTTGTCTTCAGGGAAAAAGGTGGGCTTACAAAAGTAAAAGCAGTGTTTCTCCTGCCAGTCTGTCTTGTCTGTTTTAGCAGTACATAGGCAGAAGTTGGCAAAGCGCGTTAGCCATGATAGGGCTGGGAAAACCAAAGTTGGACAGGTCAGGTTACATGAGATCATGGAGAAAGAGATTAGATTAGTTCAGGAAAGATGCAGTTCTCTTCCACAGACTGCTAGAAAGCATTGCAAGTGGCATGTATCATTCCTTCTGATTCTTAAATATTTAGTTCATTGGGTTGAAGTGTTCTTATGGATCCTGGTCCATTCTCACAGATCAGCTCATTGCCTGAGCAATTCTGGCAAATTTACATAGCAGCCAGTCTGGTAGTTAAAGAGCCTTTCTGGTTGTACTCTTTAGGAAGGATGGTGAACACTTTACTTGAATGCTGGTCTTTCTTGGTGGGAGCATCTCTTCTTGAAATGTTTAGTCATATTACAGTAAATGAATAATTGACTGCTGATTTGCTTGAAAGCTTGCTAACATCCCATTTATCTGTTTCTGTAGCTTACTGGAGGTTTTGGCTGTGTGTCAGCGTTGTGTATGAGCTCTTCCTCATCTTTATACTCTTTCAGGTAAGTAACTTAGACCTCTAGTTAGTACATGCCAGTTTAGTGTGGATATAACATCCTTTGTGGTGTTCCTTAGGATTCTCACTGACTGCAGGAGATGCTCTTCATTTTTGTGAAATCAAATCATTGTGCTATTTAATGAGACTTCCCAGGTTGATGAAAAAATATAATATTATAAAAATATTTCACCTTGTCTAACCTCCAGTTAGTCTCTGCCTAGGTTAGACACTGCAGTGAAGTGTTCTTATATGAGTTGATAAGAAATCAGAGTTCTTGTTTAGATATGAAGAGTATCAGATGGTGCTTCTGGTATTTTAGTCTCTGCTCTGCTGGATTTGATGTGACTTGCTGGAGTTGTGTACCAGCTGTTAGTTTCTTAGATCCTACAGATTGCGGAGTGAATTCATCTTGTTTAATCTTTTGAAATACTTTTTACCTTGGCTTATAAGTGCTTTGAACTTTTTTTTTTTGCAATAAACTGAAACTTCATACACGACTTTGTGTAGTGGCAGCAAACTGAAGATGATGTGTTTTCTAGAAAGACATACTATTGGTACTTCCAAATGAAGCACGTTATTTTTTTACCATATTCTCGTCCTTTAGTAAACTGAGAATTTTCCCCTGGCTTTTACAATGCTATGACTTCTCAGAAATGCAGCAGTTGAGGTAAAATATTTTGAGATAAGCGAGAACAGTAAACCTGACGCTATTAACAAAGTTATTGTGTGCCTGTATGTATGCTTACACCACTGCAAATTAAGTTTGAGTGCCAAGAAAGAGCTCAAGATTTTGAAAGAGACTCACCTTTCCTCAGTTACGCAATCCAATGATTGCAGTCATCTCCTCAGGCAACAGCATGATTTGAAACCAAAAGCAAGTGCAGAGATTAAACCATGAGAGCTAACTGTCCTGTTCTGTCAGACAGCTGGCTACTTTTCAGATTTAGATTCCAATTAGAGTCCCCAGCTGTTCATTTTCAGATAGGTCCTTCTTGCTGACATCTTAGTAACGTTTGGTGCTCTGTATTTTAAAAGGGTTGTGCAAGTACCATCACATACTCATCAGGTAGCTTTAAGAAATCATTTTAGATGAGAGGAGTATGAGGAACATGTTTTTTAAAAACAATTGTTGTTTTGCCTCTAGAGGCCAAGTGAGCTTGAAGAAGTGGGGCTGGAATTCGGAGGTGTTAGGATCTGTCTTCCGTTGTAGTAGGGCATTTGCTTTGCAAACAAGTTTTTAATATTGATCAAACCCTTTCAAGCTAATCAAAGATTTCCTTTGGCTCCAGCATTTCTTGTTCTGCTTGGCTTTCCTGGAGCCTCCCCAAAAGTCAGTGCCAAGCGCTCTTAAGAACACAAAAGTGTCCTTTTTTGTTTGTTTGTTTGCCTGGCTTGTTTCAGTGGGCAGCTGGAAAGTGTCCGCAGTAGATCAGTGAACAACAATGTGAGTTTGTCCCATTGACATAACTTGGGGGTTCAGTGTAAACCCTTATGCAGGGCCCTAATGTCTCATTAGGGTTTCTTTCAGGCTGCCTGTCCTGCTTGGAGGGAGTGGAGTTCTGACCCTTTCACAGGCATGAACAGGTCTGTCTTGCCTTTTTTGTTGTTATTCCTCACCGCTGAGGAATACTTACTCAGTTCCAATTTATTCTTATGTTCTTATTGTTTCATGTCACCCCGGTTTTTTTTTTCCAGGCATCCTTGTAAATGATACTCCTGACTAGCTGCAGTCAGACTGAATAATATGTTTCATTTTAGTAGATAGTACTGTTGTAGTTCTGAATTCTAATAGGAAAGCCTAGAATTGCTTTGCTTTCCTCTGGCGGTATGTTACTAGCCATTTAGTTGTTAAGGACACTCACTAGCTGTTGCTCAGCTCTTTACTAAAAATACATTATTACTTTGCACAGGTTTAAATAAGGTTAAAATTATGCTGAGTCTGTAAGTGACTAAACTTCCTTAAAAGCAAATACAAGCTCGCTCAGTTGAAACTTGTCTTACAGTTAATGTGACTTTAGTGGTTTTATTCTGTAATTTTATTATTATCGCTATTAACTAATTTTGGCCCTGCCCTGCTTTTACTATCTGCTAGTCTGTCCTAGATGTTACACTGCTTCTGTTGCAAAACATTGACCACAACAGTGAGCAATTTCATTGGGAAATACTTATTCAGCAAATGTCTGTGTGAGTTACTAGTAAATTAGTTCAAGTTTTGGTCACTGTTTATAACTAATATTTTGATAATTTCTTCCTTGCTGTTAGCTTCAAGTTTATTACCCGTGCTGCTAGTGGGACCTTATTCGAAATGACTGTTCATTCAACGAGCTGCACTAAATTTTTTCTGCCATGAAATGCAGTGCAGTTCTTGAATTCCTGTAGCTGAAGTGAACTGGGCACACATGCACGACTAATCCTGCTAACAGTGCACGTAATCGGTGTGCTCAAGCTGCTGATGGTTGCATGTACTGTATTTCTTTTGAGCTGCATGTTTGAAGTGCTGCTGGATCTTTCCCGTTCTAGGAAACCAGAAGGTCACTAACGCAGGAGATGCAGCCATTAAACGAGCCTTTCCTGAGTTATTGGCTGCTTTTTCTTTACCCTCGCCAAGTTCAAGGAGGGGAGAGGAAGGGCAAAAGGGTCAGTGGGAAGGATGAATTGTGTGCCAGTTCGAGTGCTAAGCTTTTGGGAGGGAGGGGGTGTAGAGGAGTGGCTTAGGAAATGGAGTTAAAGATCTTCATTAAAGATTTTTCATCTTTAAGAAATCTTAAGTTCATTCTGTAGTCATTTTTTCCTTAATATTTAGCATTAGAGGCCCAGAAAGTCAGGTATATATACTGTGTGATGCTTTGAGGTCTGTATATATTTCACGACTTGCTCTGCAACACATTTAAAAAAACACACCCATTTGAGGATACAATGTTGATCTTAATTATCTTTGTACTTTTCTATGTATTAATACTTATTAAGAGGGAAACACGGGGTTTGTGTTCCTTTTGCAGACTGTACAAGATGGCAGACAGTTTATGAAGTACATTGATCCACATTTAGGTGTTCCTTTGCCAGAAAGAGACTATGGTGGAAACTGCCTTATTTATGATCCTGGCAATGAAACTGATCCATTTCACAACATCTGGGTAAGAAACAAACAAAGTTACTTGCTAATGAGTCTGACTATTTTTTTGGTAAAAGGTTGCTTAATTGAACTCTTCAAAGTGCAGTCATGAGTCTTTCTGAGCGTTGAATGAGAGAACAGGTCGTGACTGACTCTTTAGCTTTCTTATTTCTCTTCTCTTGACCTTTCCTGTTGATCAGGTGGAGATGTGTCCCTTTGTATCCTAATTACATTGCCCAGGAAAGAGAGTAAACTGTTTAGCAATCCTTGTTTCTCAGATTATTGATGAAAACCTTTTCCCCTAGGAGTTTGGGTTTATTTGTGTGCTTAAAGAATCTTCTACTTACAGTCACCTTGAGGCACAAAGTTCAAAAGTTGCATGTTGCCAAGCAACCCATAAGTTGCACTTTTTTGAATAACAGAAACTGTCAGGTTATTGTTTCATGCTGGCAAACAGAAGACTTGAAATTCAAGGGCAAAGGAGTTCTGATTATTTACAACTCCCTGACTGCATGGAGCTGTTAGTGCTTGTGCAGTGAGGAGCACTGAATCCTTCAGGTCTACTGTGTAAGTCTTCAGTGCATAAGGAACCGGAATAACTGAGAGCAATTACAGCTGTCCTTTTCTAGTTTTGCACCAAAACTAGGAGGAGGAAAGGCATTCTTTGCCCAGGGGTTTATGATGGCAGGACTGATAAGATTTAAGAAGCTCTGCTACATACAAGATGGGGATCTGGTGAAGCAATGCATGTTCTTGCTCTGGCTTGAATGCGTTCTGCTTCTGTCCCCTTGGAAGGCAAGGAACGTGACATTTAGCACTAAAAAGGTAGTCTCTGCTTTATCAATACAATCCTAATTCCAGTTTCTGCCCCTTAAAATTGTGACTTTGCTTTGAAGATAGCTCATTTGTTCACTGTGCTTGAGAAAAAGAAACTCATAAAATGCATCTAGCATTTATATGTGAAACAACTGAAGTTTATTGCTGCATTTTGGGAGGAGGGGGGAAGTAAGCCTTAATGGGTTATCGTTTGTAGTACAAAATGACCTACACTCTCTTCTTGGTTTATAGGACAAACTGGATGGATTTGTTCCTGCTCACTTTTTTGGCTGGTACCTGAAAGTAAGAATGGGTCTTCTGTTACATTTCTGTTACAGTACTATTCTACTTTTAAAGCTTGACTGCTTCTGTTTTAGTGATGCCAGTCTTCATGATCAATTATATTAAGCAGTCATGTGTGAACTAGACCAAGGGTTTGTAATACATGAAAGGCTTTTTTCTCCCCCCCCCTCCCCGACCATGTCAGGTCACCTCATTTTTTTCCAAAGTAACATTACATTGACAAGCTCCCTCCTCCACCATAATTCATTCTGAGGTCAGATCAGTAAAAAACTTTACTCTTGTAGCAAGATAAATGCTTGAATGACCTTTGAATGTAGAGTATGGGGAAGACAGCGTTCAGAGAAGGCAGTGAAAGTCTGCTGTTACCCAGACATAGATGCATGATGATATGCTACTGCTTTGCCAAGGCAGGCTTTTCCCAGTGGCATCCAAATCAGGATTTTAAATCATTAAATGGGTAGTGGTTTAATTCTTGTTACTTTTTAGTAAATATCAACCAACTGTGGAAGGAGTTACAGTTGTGCTTGTCTCTGGCAGAACACATTCAACATGTGGTTTGCTGATTACTTTGGTCTAAATACTAGCTTTTTTTTTAACCTGAGCAGACTTACTAGCTAACTTTATTTTGCCCTACAGACCTTGTTTCTTTTTTACCTATAAGACCACCATATATAATAAACTGAAAAAGCTCAGGCTGTTTTAAAAATAAGCTATAACTGTTGTTTTGTTTTTCCTTTTCAAAAGTGCAGATGTGTTCCTATCAGTGTTTTGATTTGTTGTGGTGTTGTCCCCCACCTCCCGTAACCAAAAGATCAATATGCTAGGCATGGGGAGACTTTGACTTCAGATCAACTGTCTGTGGCTTGCTCTATTAGTGTACAGAATTGTAAATTTGGAGAAACTTGGATCTTTTTCATCCAAGAGAATTACATTAGAAACTTAAATATCAAAATAGCATTTCAGTTACATTCTGTATTTATTTTTACAAATAATGTCATACTGAAGAAAAAATGCCTAAATAGTGAGAGCCTGGTAACAAGACATAAGGGGAGTAGTAACACATTCCTGAGAGACTAGAATGGGATAGAATTCAATATGCCAGTCCACTCAATCAACCTATTATCTCTCTTGGTCTGGAAGAAGCCTAGTTTTTATTAAACAGACTGTTTCTGCAGAAATGCTTGAGATGTCATCTTGTCAACCTGCAGTCTAATTTGAAGAGCCCAGCATACTCCACAAGGTGTTTGTTTCTGTGCCGCTAAGCTTGAAGGAAACTCGCTGCTATATTTCTTACTTGTCAATTAACATATTTTTCTATAAAAAGCTGGAAGTTGAGTGTGTTGTCTTCATAAACAGAGATGAGCATGTGTTTGGGTTTCTCTTTTCTTTTTTCTTTTTCTTTTTTTTTTGTCTGGCTTGAGTAGCAGACTCTTAAGCTATATCTCAAAGCATCAGAATGGCAATGTTGAAAATGAATGTGCCTCGTTCATCAGAAATTATTGTGAGCCTCCCCATTTGCTTTGGAGGCATTTAGATCACATGGTGTCAGACTAACATGATAATGCATATCTTATATTTTTCCATCTTCTGGTTGAGGCGGTCAACACCAAGCTACATTTACTTTTGCAACGTGCAGTACTAGCACGTTTGGGGTTGCTGCCTTCCATCTAGGCACCCTGCTGAGGATACAGCAGACCAGATGTACAGGCTCTCTGTGCTCTTATCCACTTACAAATATGAAATAGTGTTATCACAAATCTCTTCCCTTGTTTTGACAGTAGGCTGAGATGATATGTATGTTCTAGGACTGCAGCTCAGCTGAATCCTTATGCTGAATGTGGAAGAAGATGCTGCTCTTCATTGCTCACCCTGGCAAGCTGCTAGCTGGTATAAAGTAGACTCAGGTGTCCCAGCAGAGACAGGGCTGCGATTTAGTGGAGGTGACTTTTTAAAAGTTTGCCTTAAGCAGGCTCTGAAAAGCCTTTTTTGAGCAGCATTAGAACGATGCTACCTGTGGTGGTCGAGCACCCAGTAATTCCATTCATTTAACTAACTAACTTCCTTCTGAATCCCATCTTGCCTGCCTTTATTCTTTCATGTAATGGTATTAATGTCGTCATCTATACTCTTCAGCATCTTTCTTGTCTGTTGTGCTGCATACTTGATAAGTTTAGAGGCCTGTGAGCATTTGGCTTTACTAGACTATCATATGATAAAAATAAGATTGTCATGAGTTTCCTGATCCTTTTCTGGATACTGGAGACAACATATTCAACTGTAGAAATAACTGGTAAACAAAGCACACCATGTGTATCCTCTGTGTTCAGAGTCCAGAAGGGTTAATCTCATATTCCTTAAGTGATCAGTTTTGAAATTAGGAAAAAAAAGTAATAATTTTTCCATACACTGTTGCAAAACTGTAAATCTGAGCAGTGTCTCTACAGTAGTTAATGGAGTTCTCCTTTATTTAGATTTCTAAAGGGCATTAGTGTAAGTGGTGTTTGGTTCTACTCAGCCTGGTGTGCAGGTATTCATTTTTTTGTAATGGTTTTTAGTATGTTGTGGACATTTGACAGACTTTTTTCCCCCTTTATATAGACATTGATGATTCGAGACTGGTGGATGTGTATGATCATCAGTGTAATGTTTGAGTTTCTGGAGTACAGTCTGGAACACCAGCTTCCAAACTTCAGTGAATGTTGGTGGGATCACGTATGTACTGCATAGATCATAACATATTTGTCTAAATGGAAGTATAGATTTTAAAGGGAGGGGGTAGGAAGTGGTGAGAACTAAATTACATCATGTGTATGTGTGACTACTGCAGTTCAGGAGCATTGGTGCTTTTCCCTGTTGAGTTTGTAATATGTTTGTCACTGTTTGTATAATGTTGTGGGTTTTCAAACTATTGCATGTGGATAAATATTTGTTTTGGTTCATTTCACACCAGAGAGATAATCTAAAGCTTTACCTGGACATTTTCAAATACTTGGTGATGGTACAAACAATAAAATCTGAAATTAAGAGAAAGATAAAACTTTGTGTATAAAGTTTCAGATGGTGATTTTTCTTGCCTGTTAAAAAAAAACCCACCTAAACCAGACTCCGTACAATTTGTGTCCAGCTCTTACTTCTGTGCAAACTTATCTTCACTGTTTTCTGAAGACAGTAAATATTACTGTGTTTAGAATTTCCGGTGTCGTTTACAAAAAGGTTTTAAAAGATAAAGGTTTGGCCTTCCTGAAAAGCTGTATGGTCTTTGCACGTGATAGTCTGTAACCATTCTTGTCCTAAAATACTGCTTGTGTGTTTCTTTTCAAGCCAGAGGGACTACTGTGATCTAGTCTCTCTCTGGAAAAAACAAGCTCTATAGCTTAAAGTGACACTTTTTTTTAATATTTTCCTATTAAATGTAAATTGGTTACCAGAGCGATCAAAATTAACCACATTCAGGGCACACAGCTATGGTTCTTATGTTATTTTGGCTTGTTTTTATTCTTACAGTACAAGCTCTTCCCAAGCTTGTAATGATTTGCTACATGGTTGTATTTATAAAAGTAAATGCATTATGTATAAAGACATCAAGCAAAGCTATTTTGCCTTCAGAAAAACTTCTTATGAAATTAACACTCTGTGCTCTGCTTCTTTGAATGTGGAGGACAGCCAGGTTTTTTTTCAGCTCAAGAGCCCCATCTCCAGAATTAACGCTTGGCAATAAGACGGAGCATGGGGAGAAATCACTTAATTTCACATCCTGAGCCTGGACATAAATCATTTCTTTAGGAGGCAGCCTGAAGCTTAAAGAGTATGTTAAGTTATTGGGCATAGTAAAATCCAGTCTGTAGGAACATGTTTAGATTTTTTTTTTGGTGTGTCTAAAGTTCTCAATTAAGGGAGTGGAGTTGAGCTGATAGTAAGTGGGAAGAGGTCTGTTCTGTAGCAGAATTAATACAGCAAAAGAGAATCTGCAGCCATCATCTGTGGAACACTTTTGCTTTATTTGAGTAAACTTGCGCAGCTGAGATTCCTTCTCGTGACAGTTCATGCACCTTTTTTCTCTGGGGATGTTCAATCCTTCTGACTGAGGGTGTGTCTCCATGTATGTGTACCTATAGTATCTTCCCTTTTACATGCTTTAGTGTTTCTTCTCCAGCATCACTGTGGTTTTCTCCTTTCAGTGGATAATGGATGTGATCTTATGTAACGGATTAGGAATTTACTGTGGGATGAAGACTCTGTCTTGGCTTTCTTTGAAAACATACAAATGGCAAGGACTTTGGAACATTCCTACGTACAAGTAAGTTGGTGTAGAAAATAACTCCAAGCAGTAGCACAGCGCAAAGTTTGGGCCAATGTTAAAAGAACTTGTTTGTTGAAGGGTTGTTCTGTTGGGGTTAATGTGAATTAAAGAGTTCATATGTGTTCAGATGACTCAAGTATCTAGTAACTTATTACTGCATGCAAGCTTGTTTATGAGAGTTTTATTTAACCTGCGAATGAAATTGTTGAAAATATACCTGTCTGTCATGAGCGTTGCTTGATATCTAGGAATGAGGGCATCTTGTGGAAATGAGCTTATTTAATGAAATTGTTAAAGGAGATGCAGGAATCCAAGTCAGGATCATACTCTTTCATTCACAGCAAGGATCTATTTGGTCTTTGTGCAAATAATGCATTCACTAGTAATCAGAACTTCATAGTAACTGGGACACTGAAAGTTTAATAAATCCCTTGTAGTCTAGTACCGGTAACGAACTACCCTTTTCGGTAGTGTGTCTTTGCTGAGCAAAGCAGAACTGAGAAACCGCTTACTACAATGGGTGTAGTATATTAAACTTTAAAATGATAGTCCAAATAACAGGCTTCTCTAACTCGGAATGTTAATCTCATTAAGTAGTAATTTTTATGGAGTAAATGGAGGCACTTTGCATATGTGAATTGGTGTCGCAAATGGAAATGTTAGTAGATGTGCTGTTTCTTAAAATTGCAAGAATGTGTTCTGTTTTTTTCAGAGGTAAAATGAAGAGAATTGTCTTCCAGTTCACCCCGTATAGCTGGGTCAAATTTGAGTGGAAGCCAGCATCCAGCTTACGCAGATGGCTAGCAGTTTGTGGAATAATCTTTGTAGTAAGGAAACTTCTCTGTCTTTTCTTTTCTCTATCATTTGAGTTAATGTTTTATAACACTCAAGCAATTGTACAAACGGTAACTGAAACTCTGACATGGTGATGTTTCTTTAGTTGAGGCTGGAAGAGATCACTTCCGAATCCTGCAGAAAAGGTGTCTGTTTCCACGTCTCGGGTACAGTTTACAGATTCATTGCATAAATATTTATTCTTGCTTGCTGAACCTTGTTGATTGGCAATGTGAGCAATATAAACTATGACCTACACATAATTCAGCAAGTAACTGCTGCTATCAAAAACATTGGCTTTGGATGAAAGTGGCTTGTTTCTCTGTCTTAAGCAGATACATATCGCATTACAGCGGGAGAGAACCGTAACCAAAGCCTCAGGCTTCTGTATGTTAGCTCTGAGCAGCATGGCTCCTGCAGTGCATATACAGACTTAATTCAGTTATCCTAGATTTTTTTTTTATGATTTACTGAACACATTAACACATGATGGTGTTAACAGTATCCAGTTCAGGTAAAGTAGCTCCCCAATTTAAACAAAAGAGAAAGTTGGCTTCTCCAGCAGTCACAACAAATTGACAGTCTGCCTCCTTCATCGGACTGTCTGAGTGGCTGAATTTGTATTATGGGAATTCATAACTTCCATTTCAGTCACAGGTTTTGCACACGTGACACTGATAGGGAAGATAAACTTGGCAGTTTAAGTGCTTTTTCTCCACTCCTGCCTCTTGTCAGCTGGGGCACTTTGGCCTTTGTGCTATCCATGGGATGTCACTTGGTGGCTCTGTTTTGAGCAACTGAAACTTATTTCAATTCAGCAACTGTGAAGTTTAACTAAAAACAAACCTCGTGACACTTCTAGTGATTCCAGAGACAATGGGCATTAACCAGTTTCTGTATTACTGCTATGGTACAGGATATAACTCTGTGTATTTTTTAACAGTTGCTAGAACAGCATACCTTTAAGCATCTTGAAATATGTGGAATATGAAACCTGGTGGTGGTTTATTTTGGGGTCTGTCCAGTGAAGTTCCCTATTACTGTTTGCTGAGTGGGACACATTAGTCAACTTGGCAAGCCACCACCACCTCTCTCTCTTTTATAACAACATTGCATTTTACGCTGATGGCAAATTGCAGACCTGAGTGTGCTTCAGGAACAATGTGCTGTCTGTAAGTACGCAAGCAGCATACAGCAGTGCCAGCAATGAGTGCCAGGCAGTTTGCAAACTTAGTCCGTTGAATACAAGTTCACATCACCTGATTTCCGCTACATAAAACATTTGCCAAGTTCACATAGCACAACAGACTTGCTGAGGTTCCCATAGTTTTATGGGAGAAGTAAAGTAAATGTGCCTGCATAAATATAATACATGTTTCTCCGAATGGTTACTATGTGCATACTCCCAACTTTTTGCACCCTGAAGAAGTTGGGTTTTTAGGTGCTGGAGCAGATATTGCAACTGAGAGATTCCATTGAATTTATACTCGTCTTTGGTATAATAATGTTTCTTTCAGCAAAGCCTAGCTTCAGCTGGCAGTTTATAAGCAGTTTCAGGTGTTGGCTCACTCTTTTGGATTAAACAATGCTTAATGCCATTTGTTGTATTTCTTTTGAAGTGAGAAACTTGTGTCTACTTGCTCACCTAATCACATTGCCAGGGCAGCTCACTTGAGAACATTTTGCTATAAATTCCAAACCAATTCTTCTAAGTTGGCTTTGGCAGTGATGTTTGCATAACCATGTAAAAAACCGAACCAAACAAAAAACCCCAGGATGTACTGCTTATGCCTCTTGTTATTTTGGGGTTCCCTCAGTCAGATTTTAAATGATAGTGAAAGGACAAGTTGTTGCTTTTAGGATTTGTTATCACTAGTTCTGCAGGTACTTCAAACTCCCGATAAACTTGTTCAAAATTAGAGGCAGTGCTTGTCCAGGTTTCTGCTGTGTTTTTTTAATACCTCTTCCAATGCACAGAAAATTTTTAAAAACCTGACTATTCTTGGTCATTATTGCAACTGATGGTGGTGCGCTCAGTAGTACTGAGTAGGACTTTGTGGCATTAGAGAAATGGTGGGGGGAGTCATGCAGGGAGAGAGGGAGATTCCAGGCTTCGTTCAGAAGTCTTCTGAATGTAATTAAAATGTCCTTTTTCTCAGTTTTTATTGGCAGAACTGAACACATTTTACTTGAAGTTTGTCCTTTGGATGCCACCAGAACACTACTTGGTCCTGTTACGACTTGTCTTTTTTGTCAATGTGGGAGGTGTGGCTATGAGGGAGATCTACGACTTCATGGATGACCCGTAAGCCAGTCCTCTTGTGTATATACCATGTCAAGCTTCACTTGCTTTATTTTGAATTTGCTCCACCTTGTTGGCATCCATCTCAGGGCGGTGGTTCAGCTTGTCAGGGACAAAAAGACCTAATCCCAAAGCGTCTGCTTTGTGTTCTTTTGTTTTGGAGGTAAAATTCTGACTACATCTGGTTAGAGAACAGCTGTTGTTAAGGGCATTCTATGTGCACTGTTTTTAACCTCACTTTTTTTAATAAATGATCACTCTTTTGGGAATGTAATGCGTAAATTAGCTGGAGTGCCACTGGCTTGTGGGCAGAGGATTACTGAACTCCACTTTCAGATTGATAGCCAGGAACTACAGTCCTTAGATGTACCTTCTAAGGACAACAGGGCCCAAACTAAAAAAAAAAAAAAAAAAAAAGTGTTTCTTAAAGGCTCTTCTTTTCTTGAGCTATCTTCCAACTGGTCCCTGGTCCTCTGGAGCTCTCGTGGCACCCTCTTGCAGATCAGAGGACCCTTTATAGCAAAGTGTATTGAAGACGAAGTGCACCCATACACAACAGTGCATGTACTTTCAGACTGTTCCTACTTAAGCATCGTATTTGTCCTTGCTGCTTTTGTTTCTGCAGACCATGTAAGACCTGAGAAAGCTTTGTTCTCAAAATCACGTTTTCTTTTAAGTTTTAGCAGTAATGTCACAAATTGCCTGAGCCCACATCTTAAGCCTAAGACAACGTCTGGCTTCAAGGGATGTTCATTGTCTGTCGCTGACCAACGCAAAAAGTGTCTGTGTTCAGAATTTAGGGTTCCAACATTCTATGAAGATCAGTTTCCCTTGCAAGGCTTTGACTCCTAGAACTGGGAAGAAGGGTCAACCCACATTGCTTAGTCGGATTGCAGGACATTCAGCAGTGGCAGGCTGCCCCTGCCTTTGGTGTCGGACCTACTGGTTTGGGACGTGCCTCCAACTCAAAGGTAAGAAGAGGTCTCTGCCTCTCACTGGTGAGCTCCTCTCCTTAGCACCATTCACAATCTTCTGGTCCTTGTGTTTGGGTTGGAAAAACTCCTTTGCCCTCTGTTCAACCACATGGCATAACATTGAAATTTAGGAGAATCATCAGTCACCGGTGCCTCATTGCTGATTCAGTTTGTTGCCATTCTTTCAATGAGCTGGAGAAGTTCATCCAGCAAGCAGAGCCTCTCATCCTGAACCGCATGTCTTCATCATTGCCACCACCACCTACTGTTCTATTTCTCTTGGTGGGTAAGGTGACTAGACCCCTCACTTCTGAGGTTCATGGCTCTGCTTGATGCACCACAGAGCTTACCTCATCAGACTGTTCATGCAAAAATGGCAGAACGTAGCATCTGGTTGTACCTAGTATCTTCTCTGCGAAGGCTTTTGCAACCGGACTTTGATTCCTTCGTGCATTTCAGGTCATCCAAGCAGAGATAATCTACCCCCGTTTTACCACCTTAATTGGGTGTATTTTCACTTGCACATTATTTTGAACCAAGGAACCGTTTTGGATTCTTCCTGTTGTGTAGCAGGCTGTACCAGAGGCTCCCAGCTAACAGCACATGAGAAACCTTCCTGACCTTTTCCTTTTGGAAACTCACTCAAACCCTTAGTGGACAAAGGTTGGAATATTCTGTTGACCTTCCTTGTCAGAAACATGGCTCACTGCCTTGTCTGGTAGTGACAGGATTGTCTGAGATAAACTGATTAGATCTCTTCAGCTAACCTTGCAATGTTTAGTCTAGAATGTAGTGAAGTTCAAATATGAAGACTCTCTTTTTCTCACTCAGGATTCTTAGTATCTGCAGACAGTTTTAGGGCTTTGCTTTCAGGAACTTGGTCTGAGCATGGTGACAATAAAGTATCTAGAACTGAAATAGTCCAAGAAGAGGGGTTGTTCTTTAAGCTGTTCTCCAGCTCTTACATACCACGCTCCTATTGTGGTTGACATGCTGCCTCTGAGTTCTTGAGGACTGGCTATGTGAAATGTTCCTGACCAGAAATATCTTGATGCAAGAGTCTATAGCATTTGACCTTGTCATATCTTCCTGGTTTCTAGTCTTCAGGTCTCTTCCAAGGAGTCTGCATTGAGGCCATGAATTTTAATCTCATTCATCAAATAAAAAAGGACTTTTCTTTAAAATCTTTCATGAGTAGAAGGGCAGGAAACAAACTCTCTTCCTTGGCAGCTTTAGGTTCTGCACAGCTCTTCTGTTGGGGTTACCTTTAATTCTTTTTTGCCAGTGTGCTGTCATAAGCTAGTGAAAGAAAACGATGGCAAATGAGGAAGCAGATCAGCAAAGCAGAAGGCTGACCTAGTCATCTGAACAGCTTGAGTTCACAGTGAGAGATTTGCTGTTTCGTTTTTTCTCTCTATCTGTGTGTTAAGGCTAGTTTCTGCCCACTTAATCTGTCATACCAGATGAACCACCTGGAGCAGTTTCTGAAGTCCCTTCGTCTGAGTTGGTCTAGGCAGGATACTTTTTAAAATGGAATGCACTCCATCCCATCTGCATCAGCAATAACCTACACTTGATTTACTGCATCATATTCTATTCCAGTGTACGTGGACGATTTTGTGTAGTTTGAACTTAGGCATTGGTGTCAAATATGACTCTTGGGCCTTATGTTTAAGAAGCTCTGTGGTTTGTGTGCTTGGCTTGCAATGACTCCCCTGGATTCAGGAGAGGGAAGAGAAGCTCTGTTTGCTCTCCATACTTAGATCCCTTCCCCGATACTGAGAATCCCGGGGGATGCAGTGGAGCAGATATGTCTGAGCAACAGGAAAACACCTGCTAAAGGAAGGATGCTCTTTCCAGTGCAGCTGCTGGCATCTGATGAGAAGAGGGGAAGAGAAACTGGGAGCAAATGTGCAGTTGCAGCTCCCTCTGCTCCAGCGCTATTGGAGATGTTCTAATGTGTGCGCACTGGGCAGTATACCAGCTGGAGGTGACAGGGTGTCGGGCAGGCTTGTTTCTCTGCCTAGCAGAGGGAAGCATTAGCAGAGCAGCCACTCTCCAAGGAAATCCTTATCAGGGGTTTGTAAGGTGGCTTCTCTTTCATCCACTGCATGGCGAAACCGGTGAGAAAATATTGCCCAAAGAGCTTATGTGGCTACTGAATATCACAGCGTTTAATAAGTCAGTGCCTCAGCCAGACAGGAGGCTGTAGATCACAGCAGTCATAGACGAGACTAGAATTTCCCATTGCTGCAATGCCCTAGAAGTACTGCAGAGGTCATCTTAACATGTCCATCCCTCTCTCCCTAGCCCTCTGTAGGTTTGTTATATTGCTTTGCTCCGCACTCCTCTGTCCTGCCCCAGTAGTTGTGCCACTTTACACTGAATTCTTCCTGGATGTGTTTCACTTCACATCTTACGCTGTGGTAGGAATGGAATAACACAGTAAGCTGGACAAAAGGGGGGGGGACACCTGGTAGGAGAATGTACTTCAGAATACACTATGGTTAAGTGAGAGGGCAAGGCCCTCTGCAGAATAGATGCTCTCTGTGATTAAAGCAGAGACATACACAACAAAGGCAGAATAAGGAATAACAGAAGGCAAAAAGAACAGCCACCTTTATGTTCAGTTGGTGGTGCTTCTATTTGCATGGTTAATCTTGGGCATCTGCAGAGACATAATAATCAGTTAAGGTAGCAGGTTTAGGGCTAACAGGAAAGTGCACCAAAATGCTTCTTTGTGTGGTTTTTGAGTAAAAGATACCATCCAAAGGCTGTTGAGAAAAGTTAGTTGTGTGTGCTTGCTAGTGAAACAGTTGGTGATGATGGTGGTTGAGGGTATTGCTTTTCTCAAGTTCAGTCTTCCTTGGCTCAAATCAGTTGGATTTCAGGAAACATTTAATAAAATCAGCCTCTGCAAAAAAAGGAAAATAATACGTACAACTTCTAGTAGCTTTCTCTTGGTTCTTTCCCCTAATGGGAATAAAATCCCATGTTAGATGCAGAAGATGGGTGATGGACAAACAAAAACTTAGTATGCCAAGCCGGAAGTGATGTACTTGACTCTATGCGGTTGGATAGCACATCTGCATGCACCAGTGGTGCTGCGGTGGGCAGGATTTCAGTGCAATCCAGTGCATAAAAAAAGGGCTTGTTCTGTTGCGCAAGCAGAACCACATTTGCTTATTGACATATGAATCATCTGGTCTGTCAGGTCAGTAGGCTGTAAAAGTGTCAAGTCTAGAAATGACGTGAACAGACAAAAGGTAAAAAAGTGGAGAATCTAACTGGTTTAGATCAAGCAACTTACCCAGGTTTCTAGCAATAGGCTATTACCTGTGAAGGTAATGAGGCTTCCTGAAAGGCAGCCTATAGGTATTTTGGTTTTATGTATTTCCCATGCAGGAATAGGTGATCCAAAAGATGGTATATTTCCAGTCTCTCCTTCTGCAAGTAGAGCCTCTGAATAGATGTCTTGATTCTACTGCAGTTTAATTTCTGGCGTTACTGATTGATGAGTCCTTCACTAGGCTTGTACATAGCACTGCAGCTTCGCATTGACTTGTCTGATACTGCTTAAAAACAAACCCTGGGGATTAAATATTAATCATGTATTTGCCCCAGGGTTGTGTTGTCCTAGAAGTGAAACGCTGTCCTTGTGTCTTCCAGTATCTTGCCTGTTTTTTATTAAGCTTGCTTCTTTTAAAATCCCTTCAGAGATCATTAGTGACAGCTCATTGAATACCTTTTTGGGAAGAGAGTAAGTTTCAGAATGCAATTATATAGGGGTTAAATATGGTTACGGCAGTGTGACTTGACATTTGCAGAGGAAGTCTAGGAGTAGGGCTCCTATTTCATACCGTACCCTGAACTTCAGCTGATCTCAAGCTGGTCAGATAATTGTTTTATGTGGATTTACCAATACCCTGAAAATGGTGATACTTACTTGTGTCACGTGATGATGAAGTTTAACTTCTCACATATTTTCAGAGCCTCTCAGAGGAAACTTAAGTAATACCAACATGAAAGTCATCAGCCTGCATAGGCTTAGTATATGTGTGATCCAAACTAGACTTTTAGAGTTGTGCAAAGCTGAATGAAATTATTACTCCGGCTGCCTTTTTATGAATATTTCTCTGAATGCTTAATTTTACGCAATAGCTTTGTTTTATCTGTGCATTTATTTTGCAGGAAGTTCCATAAGAAATTGGGTCAGCAGGCATGGCTGGTTGCTGCTATTACTGCCACGGAGTTTCTGATTGTTGTGAAGTATGATCCCTATACACTCACGCTTTCTCTTCCTTTCTACATTACCCAGTGCTGGATGTTGGGGATTATACTTGTGCTCACCTGGACAGCCTGGCGTTTCTTCATCCGGTAAGCAGTGTTTGATGTGCTACATTCAGGTCTGGCCTGGGTCTTATGGGGGGAGTTGTTCTGGACATCTGTTCAAAAGCGTATCTTCAAATGTGTGCTGTCATTAGCCTTCAGTCCCTCCTGAAGATAGATTACAATTCTTTTGGATGGCTAAAGCTGCAGTGCTTTTGTGTAAGAATTAGTAAATAAACAGGGAGTTTTCTGTGCATGATCCTGGCAGTTTTCTTTCTGGATCAAGCCTCTGGTAGCTTTGGTCTTTGTGGGGCTACTTGTGTTAGTGTTGCCGTAGAAGCAGGTGAACAGTTAAGTGCCTGACTGCACCTGGTCTTCCTGGGTGAGTGAAGATGGCAGACGAGATCAGTGTTTTGTTTTTCTTGTGCTCTGAGTTAGACAAGACTAAGATGTTTTGCAGCTTCATTGCAAGAATGCTCTGTGAAAAGCAGCTGCACAAGGCTGAAAGAATTACACTAATCTATAAAGGAGACCCTGTGCAACAGCAGTGGTTGCCCTTGTTGAGCATGCTGTTGTGTTATGCTTCTGAAAGAGGTGATAATAGCCAGACTGCTAGCAAGAAACACAAATTTCAAGTGAATCAATGCCATCAGCAATTTTAGAAATTTACAGCCAAAAGCCTCAAGTGCGTTGTTATCTCAAGGGCGCTTGCATCCAGAACAGACTTGGCTTATTGTTTTTATTGTATACTGACACTGTTTATTCACATCACTAGTTCACATCTGTTTGTTTTTCTTTTTAGTGACATCACTTTGCGGTATAAGGAGATAAGGCGACAGAAGCAAGAGCACAAATATGAAAAGGACAAATGCTTGAGCAATGGTGATGGACACTCATCAATACTGGATGAACAAAATGGGAACAAACTAAGGGAGAGGAAACTTTGAGCAACAGACAAAGGGCTAAAAGGAACTCGTAGTGCTCAAGTTGGCCTGGTGGACAGTTTCAACCTTATCCTACCTAACTTGTAATTTTCATTGTTAGCTTTCCAATGTGTGAAAATCCTCTCGGGGAAAAGATGTCACTTTGACATACACACCCTCTCTCCTCATGTACACCTAGTCAGTCGGAGAAAGTCTGTGTAGAGGGAAGTCAGAACCAACAACGTTGCAACAAGATGGGATCTTCATTCAAGCGTGTTGTATGTCTTGCTTGAAAACAAGGTTTGGAGACAAGGAGCTTTAAAACAAAGCGCAAAGGGAATCTAGCTGATACATTTTCAGTATACTGAGATTTCGATTTTGATGTTTGGGCATTAGGAACACTTGTTTTGAAGCGTACAGGTACCAGACACAGGAAAGGAATTATTTTTTTTCTGCTGAAACTACCTTGAGCTGTGGAGTAAGATTGCTTAAAGTGTTCAGCCACCAATTAACAGAACTACAGCGAGATAAACATAGATAAAATGAAGCTTGTGAACAAGTTGCGTAACTTGCACAGAATGTAATACAGTACACTACTGTTACAGCCCCTGTAATATGGGGGTTATTGCCTTTCCCTAAACTGACTTTCAACATCCTGGAGTAGCCTACAATAGTTTTATGTTGTATCACAGCTCTAGGGAGACAGACAACTTCTCCTTAGTTGTGTGTTTTTTTTTTCCTCCTTTCTTTTTCGATTTTTCTTTTAGTCTTGGTCATCTCTTAAATGTAAGGGAAGGTTAAATAGGAAAGGTCAACCTGCCTTTCCTTCGCTTCCTGGAGTAAAATGTATTACAAGCAGAAAACTGGGAGTTACTCCATCGGTCTTAAGTTATTTGCCTTATTGTCAGCTCTTTTGGTTTGCTTACCAAGAGCGTTTCATTCTTGGTGTCTGCTGTACGGGACACGACCGGTTCTGCCATCCTTCAGAGCTGCCCCGTTCCTCCCAAGGTAACTCCAGACTGAGCAATCTCCTGATTCCAACTGGAAAAGGCGTTCTCTGCAGTCACGCAAAAATAGCTGTTAACGTGCCGCCATCCCTGCCAAAAGAACAAACTGAGGCAAAGTGCATCGTTCTTCCTCAAGCACTGTGTAGCAGTGGAGGTCTGCAGGCCAAGCTAGACAGCATTTTTGCTGGTGACTCAGCATCTAGGAAAAGAAATTGGAAACCTGGGCTGCATTTGTTTTGATGTCATTATTCTAAAATGTAAGTGCTACACTAAGCATCAATTTTGTAACCTCTGCTCTAAGCCTTTGCATTGGCGTCTAAGGCACTGACGTAACCGTAACCATATCACTTTTTAAATACTGTGATCTAATCTGGCTCTTAAAGGGTATTTTTCAGGGAAGTGTTTATCCAGATGAAAATGACATAAGCACCACCAGTAAAATTTCAAGAGCGCAACCCCAAACTTTTTAAGAGGCAGGAGACTTGCAGAGCTGCTGACTAGCAAACATCTGCATTTTTGATCTGTTTTGGTCTTGTACGTGAATGACAACCAAAATCTGCATTTCTCCCATGTTTACAGAGCGACCCAAATACAAAGAATGGGCACTTAGCAGTAGGGCAGTCTTCAATTAATCGGGCAGTTTGGTTACATCTGAAGAGCTCAACAAATGAAGCAGAGTTTATGGGCCAGGGGGGCTGCCCCAGTTGCTTAGCAGATGGAGAGGAGGATGACCAATATGAGAGGTAGCATCAGGCTTCTTTCTCGAGTATGTACAATGTACTGTGGATAGTCGCTCAACGGCTGCTCTTAAATGATAGTATTTTGCTGCTGTGAGGTAGTGAAGAATATATGGCTGCGTAACTAGATGCTGACAAGTTTGTAAGTGGGCAGAGAGTGCTGAGTTGAGCAAGTATTTATTTCTATGCCTTTCCACCCAGAGTCGTTCTAGTTCCAGCTTTAGACCAGTCTTACGAACTGTTAACTGATTGTTTGGTAGCTTGTACCAGTGTGTTGTGCTTGTGTAGTCCCAGCTGAGCAAGGCTCAGGTCAGTGTATCTCCATTCTGTTTGTGCTGATTAACACTGTGGGCCCCCCCCGCTCTGATCTCTTTGCAGTACAACCTCCTGGGTCTGTCGCATGATTCGGGTGGTAGCAGGCACACCTGGGGAGGATCTGTCACTGTACCTGCCTCCTCCTCCCTGCCAAAGACCCACTTACATACATTTAAAACAACTGGTGAAGAATACTTGTTCCCTGGTAACGATTCTGGAGCTTTGACCTAATACGTAAAACACTGACTTGTTTGTCTACATCCATCTAAACAGCTTTTATGGTTAGTCTGGATAGATAACTGAACCAGTGTAATAAAGCGATGCTTGCTGGTGTGTTCTTTGGTACAACGTGTGCGTGCTCGTGGTTCATCTCGCTTGTCGCCTCGCAAGTGGAACTAGAGGCCTAAGGGGACTTGGTCTGAATTCCCCTCCAGCAGAAAGGCTATCATGTGCATTGGTGCTGTCTGTAATGGATGCTGGGCCTTAAGGTAATGAACTTGTCCAGATTTTCAGAGAAACAGATGTTACAAGCCCTTGGTCCACTGTTGTAATTCGGAAATGCTTCTTGCAGTACATTTACAAGGGTGATCTTTCCACTGTGAAGTAGACTTGGGCTATGCACGACATGTTGAGTAACTTTGTAGTCTCAGTACTTCCCTTACAGACTAATGTATAGCGTTGCAGGTGAGCTCTAATCATCACAGTCTTGCCTGGTTTCAGGAATCCTTTTGTGATCATCTCTCGGAGAAGTACTCAAAAGCAACCTCATATGGAGAAGATGAAAGGACAACTGATAAGCCTCACTTAAATAACTTTTGGGGTGGCATAAAATGAGACCACCCCTATGGAGATGAAAGAGGCAGCAGTTTCCCACTTCTGTACACATCTGTATCTTGCTGCACATTTTCTTAGCTTACCTTCTTTGTCAGAAAACTGGAACAAGATACCTTCCTTGTGTGGGTATGCCCTAATATTTGTAGTGAGATTTACCAAAGGTAAGGGGTGGGCTTTAAAAAGGAAAAATGCAGGGGAATGTGTGGGTGGGTGAGAATGTGCTCAGCTAATGCTGTTGTGGGTGACTTTTTTCTTGCAAGTGGTTTCTCTTTGTTTTGCAGGCAAGCTAGCAGGGATTTGACACTGCTTTGAGTTACATAGTTTTGATGTCCCTCAAGCCCACTTGTGTGGCCTGTTGTATTTGTTACAACAGGATTTTAGGTGGTGGTTCTGAGTTAATACTGATAACTGCCTCTGAGGAGACCACCTGCCTGCACCCTCGTTTCTGTCCCTGCTTGTGCATGATGCAGTAGTGCTCCACAGCCCTTAAAAGCCAGTTATTCCCTTCCCCTTGCTGTACACACGAAGCTTTAGTGAATGCAGCCGTTGGGTTCGCTAGCGGAGGGGCTGCCTGAAATTCCCTGGTGTTGCACAAAGGAGGTGCTGACCCTGCGTGGTGCCAGGTATGCCATTCTGGGTGAAGATTCAAGGGGAAACAGCTGCTTCAAAGCATCTTAAGTTAGTCAGTAATTAGCTTTACTTAATTGTTCCAAACGGCACTCTGGAGGTACCCACGGCATGGGCTTACAGTGAAAGTCTGCTAACCTGGGCAGTCAGAAAACAGCTCAATGCAAGCAGCCTGTACCCCGTGGTCTCTAGAGCTCCGGTCATCACCAATTTGTGGGTGCATCTTGCCACCCTTCCCTCTCCCCCCAGTCGCTATTCCAGCTGCCTGTCGTGCTGGGAGGAGGCAGCAATAGCAGCCAGGGCTGCAGGAGGGTTTCTTTGCTGCTTTCCCCACCCCACCCCGTGACTTTTTGGTCCTGTTGCTGGTCTTAAAGGGCCTGTATGATGCTTTTGGCATGATCAGCTTCTGATACAAGTATTCTGCTCTTTTTTTATTTTTTTAAGCTGGACTTGCTAAGCGGTGCCTAGCAAAGGAGTAGGCAATGGCCCTTGCTCACCTGCCTGTAAATGCCAGGTGAAGGAGGAGCCGTGGTTTTGTTCCTGCAAGGAGGTAAGCCAGGGGAAGGCACACCGGGTCTGTTGGTGCTCTTTTTCTCTCGTGGTCCTTCCTCAAAGGTACCTTGTACCTTCCTCTGCTGGTGGGAGCCTGCAGTGAACAGAGATTTTGGCTGAGCGGCTGCTGGGCTATCTGACCGTTTCCTGCCTTCTGCTTATCAGCCCTGGACAGTTTGTCCTTTAGGTTCGAGCATCTTCTTTTGTTTTTTATGTGTTTTTTTTCCCTAAAAGGATAAATGGTCTTTTTTAATTGTTTTTAGACTTAAAAGGTTGCAGACCACTGCTCTACATGGTGTTTCCTACAGGAATTCAGACTTGGGCAGGGGAAAGTAATTCAGGTAAATCACCTGTGGCTGAAAGAGCACGTAAAAAGCTGTCTGCTGTTAGATGCAAGGTGAGACCTCCTCCCTAGGTGAATACGTAAGAACAACCAGCATGGGAGAGACGGTGTAACCATTTGGAAAATGCTAGATATGCAGGCTGGCTGCTGTCGGGAGCTTTTCCCGGAGTATTTTGACCAAGAATAAATAGCTTTTTCCTGCATAGCGGGCTGGCTGAACGTGCCACCAGAAGCAGAAGCCAGCTGAGGTACATCTGCTACATCCCCGTGGTGGTAAAAAAACCAACGAAAAACCCCATGAGGGGTGCGTGGGCCACCTTGCCACTAGCTGAACTGCTCATGTGTTGGTCATTGGAAGGGTTTGTTTATCAGTCTGCATTGTTGAGATGCTGTTATTTCATTATCCTCAGTTACCTAAGGCCTGACCTACGCACAAGGGTGGTAACAAACTCATGCCATCCGTTAGCAATATGAAACTGATGTTTAATAGATTAGTTGGCATCTGTGTGAGGCTGGATAAATCTTCAGATGCCAAACTGGGGCTTTCAGATATTACCAAAACTCAGCCAAACCCAATCCCATTTAAAACAGCTCTCTGTAGGTCAGCTGCGGCTGCCTTTGCCGTGAGGCTGAAGCGGTGGAGAGTCTTGTGGTGGCCACGCAAGAGGGTGCTGGTGTCCCAGGCTGCCCCGCAGAGGGACAGCCTGCCAAGTCCCTTGGGAACGTAATTTCTAATCTCTGTTGTAGATGAGGTTTGGGAACTGGGGCAGGAAGCCATGGCTTGCTCTTTTCCAACTGTTTTTTATACACCTAGGGGAAGGGCTGCATTTTGGAAAAGCCTGAGTCCTGGGTGGGCTGGGAAGCCCAATGGAAAGGACCCCTGGTTGCAGGATGAGGCTGCTCTCCCACCCAGGCAGCATTTTTGGGTTACAGTCAAAACTTGGTCTGTTTTCTCCCTGAAAATCAATTCCCTGCCAGGAAAATCGGGGGACCACCTCCTAGTGCTGGCCCTCCCTGGATCGACCCAGCACAGGAGCCAGAGAGCCCTGTGGCTGGGCTGCAGATGAGTGAACTGGCCCTGCTGCTGGATGTGGTGGGTTTTCCTGGGAATAAAGCTCCTCTGGAGTGTCACGCTGCTCTGCGTGGCCAGCTGAGACCATCTTTGCTTAGGGCACATTGTTGTTCCCACCCCCCCCTCCAAAAATTGCAATTATTCCGTTTTCTCCAATTCAAGCAAAGTGAATCTCTTGCTGTTTGAAATTACGGTGGTCTGGCATTTGAGGTAAGGTGGCTGAGAACATGCTTATGAAGCCATAACCTAGCCATAACCAGGGTAAGAACAAGAACGATCTCCATCCCCATCATACGAGATCATGAGTAGGAGAGGTTTGGCTGATGATCACTTTGTTACAGGAGAAGGCACCTGCCAGCGGGCACTGATCTTCTGGTCTCCAAACTGCTGAAAGGGCTTTATGGGCCAAGTCCCTGTAAATGCCACTTGGCACTTTGAGAAGAAGCTTTGCCTTCTGCTGCACTGGGGGAGAGGAGAACTGATGGATTTTCTTTAGGAACGGGCAGAGCCAAGACCTTGCTGCTGGACAGCCCCGGTTACGCCCAGGACCCCAAGTGTTACTGCACGGCCGGCTGAGAGGTGGCACAGAGGAGGGAGGAGGCTGGTGTTACCCTTCCCATCCCTTCAGGAGAGAGGAGCAGCCTGGAATTAGGGACAGGTGAGGATCCAAGGATTTGGCTTTCAGGTGATGATCCACAGACCCCAAATGGCTTTTACGGAGGAGAGCAGCACCCCTTGGGGAGCAAGAGGAGGGGACGCAGGTCCTGATGGAGAGAAATTGTAAGCAGGGTCCGTGGGGTGGTCCTCCTGGGTGAGGGGGGAAGAGCTGAAAGGCACAGAGGTGCTGGGGAGCTGAGGGTGTCGGCTGGGCGCAGGGGGGGTCCCTGGGCAGCAGGAGGTGGGATTTGGGGCAGCCCTGGCTGGGCGC